TGGTGTCGGGGCTGGTCGGCGGGCTGGTGTCGGGGCTGGACGGCGGGCTAAGACATTTCCAGAGACAGCAAATACGGAGACCGAACACATGCCAGTGTAATATGAACTATGACAAGCACATGATGGTAACACTTGGAACTTGGGGCGTAATAATAATAATAAACCCTTGCAGTGGAGCTATCACCGCACGGCAAGGGCTAAGTACCGGTGCTGCCCACAACACACTCTGCTTGACAGACTAGCAGTCAGAGGCAGCACTGCCTCAGATCTCACACTGTAGATATACATTTATCAGGCGATGGGCGCACTCGCATACCGGGAAGTTTTTTTCTGGAAGAATTCCGCTGCTGGGGAGTTCTGCAGCAGGAAGTGTGACATCGACCTCAAAGAACGTACATGTCATCATCATACATGGAATTACTTTATGTATTGATTGGTCAGGTCAGGTGGTGATTTTTCCAATCCTGACTGATTTTCTTTCTTTATTCCCAGGGAGGTCTAAAGGCCGTTATCTGGACGGACGTCATTCAGACGCTGGTGATGTTTGCCGGACAGCTTGCGGTTATCATCGTTGGTACCGCAAAGGTGGGCAGCATCGGGGAGGTCTGGCAAATCGCCATCGACGACAATAAGATCTCCGGGATAAAGTGAGTGATGAAAAGTTGTGACTTCGCCCCCTTGTGTCACGCTCAGTCCTAACGAAACGTGCAAAAGAGGCGTTCTTCTTCAGGACCATACGCACTTCTATTTTGCAACCTACAGTATTGCGGCACCACGGGTTGTGGAGCACATTGGAGGTGCTTCGGGGTGCCATTCCAACGCAAACCCCAAAAAATGGTATACAATTTCAGTACAGCGTGGCATGACGGAATAAACGTCAGTCAAAGTACCGCAGCGCTGAGTACTGAAAAATGCCCGGGACAGGAAGGGGGTGTAACAGCGCGGTCAGCAAGCGGTTAATCGCACGCTGCCAGACACCACAGCATACCTTTTTAGTGGTCTCGTGGAGGCCATGCCTCAATGGGTCAGGAAACGGGATGCCTGCTCAATATTAGGCGGCTGGTCTATATCAGATATTAAACATCAATTAAAAAAATGCATAAACCTAAAAACAAAATATATGAGGGCATTCTAGCTTCCCCTTTAATTCTGATTCTAGGTATTTAACTGAACATCCTGGAGTGCCAGAGACTGTTTGGGTTCTGTTTTGAGTAGTCTAAAGTGATCATCCTTCCTTTTTCATTTACAGCTTCAACCCGGATCCCTTCACCCGTCATTCCATCTGGTCCCTGGCCTTTGGCGGCATCTTCCTGATGTTGTCATTATATGGGGTGAACCAGGCCCAAGTGCAGCGCTACCTGAGCTCACGGACTGAGAAGGAGGCCATCATGTGAGTAGACGTGTATAACCTTTTATCATTTTAAGAGGGATGTGTGCTGGTTCTGTGCTCATTGGGCTTATTCCAATGTTTTGGTGGGACATTCTGCCTTAAAGGGATGGCTGCTAATGCGGCCTCCTAAAGAGGAAAGCCAAACATTTTGTTTGTGCCTGCCCCCGTGCTGCTTTTATCTCATTGGCAGCCAGTGGTAGTCAAGCTGTGTCTGTTCTCGCCTCCAGTATTGTCTGTGAAGATTCTCATTCATCCGGGTCACATGGTATATCTGTAAAAAAATAAGTCAAGGCAACTGGACCTGCTGCATTTTTCGCGAAGACGTCTTCAAGAAAAATACAACAGGTCCAGTTGTCTTGACTTATTTTTTTTACGGATACTCCTGTATTGTGTTGTCACCATGAACACATGGAAAGAATACTTCCTGATTCAGCCATGGCAGGCTGAGCATGGTTAGTTTGGGCACCCAACCGCCATCTTGCTGCCTGTGTTGAGGGCACATGGTGGATGCATACATGCTGCATTGTAAACTTCCTCATAGAGCTATTGATGTCTTAAAGGAGAACTATGAGGTGAGAGCTTTTCACTCACCTCATAGTTCTAGCCGACCTGTGACAATGAGACTGTCACATGTCGGCTCAGTAAATCGGGAGGTGAGCGAACACATACCGGCGTTCGCTCACCTCTCGATCCTGTCACGGCTCTCTGCTGTTACAGGGGAGGGGCTGGATTCCCCCCTCCCCGCTCCAATCTGCCAGCGCTGGCTGGCTGAACGGACGGGGGAGGGGGCGGGTACAGCTGGCTCTGCCTCTAGATAGGCAGAACCAGCTGTAACTCGCGCAGCTGGGCGGATCTCGACGTCGGGATCCGCTCCGGCTGTGGCGTCTCAGTATATAGGGAGCTACAGCTCGCGGTATACTGAGCTTAGGGTGACGGGAGGACGCTAGTTTGTGTCCTCCCGTTACCCTAAGGAGAACTATGGGGTAAAGCCCTGACCCCATAGTTCTCCTTTAAGTACTTGCAGCAGGGGCCTCCAGGACAGCGGGGACATAGCCTGCTGTAACAGGTTTCCCCAACTCTCACTCTACTAATGGATCTGGGGCTGCATGAAGTGCGTCTCCCAATGGTGCCGACATCTGCAGCCTGGAATCCTGTTGCCCTCTGCCACAAGACTCTATTCTGACATTGGAGTCTTCTTTTAGTTTCTGTCAGATGCATCTGTTTCTCCTGCCCTTTCGGCAAGTTTCTTCTACGTTCTTAAAAGGACTTTATGGCCCGAATAGCCCAGTTAATTGGAGAGTCTGACCAGAGAGGTCACAAGTGTGTTCTCATGCCTTCCCCCTACATATTCTAAATCCGATCTAACTGGGCCTTGCCAGCTTCTGAGCCCTCCATCACTGAGAGTCGCTCCATTCCTTGCCTGCTCTGCTTGCCCCTGAAGAGTGGCAGTCCCCTGCTATGACTCTCAGGGCCCGTCTTACCTCAATGCAGTGTACACTACTCTGATATTAGAGGATCAGCCTGTTGCTTCTACTAGTGCTGTTTCCAGTCCTTTAGAGCTCATAAGGTCATGAGGACTTTTCCATTGCGCCCGCTGTTCTAAGTCTCTCTGAGGAGGTTGGAAGCACCCTATTAGACTTGTTCCCATTTGTGGAGGATTTTGTAGAAGTTGGTTTATTTCCACTATGGATGCGGCAGTGTCCTGAGTTAACAAAGTGACTACTATACTAGTAGAGAAAGCACCTGATACGTGGTTGGAAGCCCTCTCTAGAGCTCAGTTCTTGCTAGCAGGACCTGGTCTTCATCCCATCTTGACTGTGTCTTAACTGTACCAAACCATAACTGACTGGGCAAAATCCCTCAAAAGAGATCTTGCTACTGCTCTAGTGGATCCATTGCATGGAGCAAATAACTAGTTTTAACCTGCAGCTGGCAATTTGCCAGAGGCTTTTTGGCTTAGCTCCCGCATTAGTTCTCCTGTCAGTACACATGCATAGGACACCTTTGGTAAATTGCTGGACTTCATAACCCCCATCCAAAAAGCATGCAATCTGTATGGCCTTCAAGGGACAACATCTCTTACGTTCTAAAACCCATCTTCCTCAGTGGAAATAGCCTAAGGAGCAAACTGCAACGTCTTCTCCCTTTTCACCCGTAAAGAAATGTCCCTTTTTCACTCCTTTTTAATCCAGCACCCTCCAAACCGAAACCCCCAAACTTGGATCCCAGTCCACCCACAATATCTGGGCATCAAAGGCTGCCACATCCTCAGACAAGCCTTCCTCTGCAGAAGAGCGCCCTACCTGCCTCCCAGAGTAAACTTTTTGTACACTTGGACTGCTTGCATCTCTGATTATGTGGGTGAGTGAGGTGGTATCCCAGGGCTATAAACTTTGGTCATCATCTCCCGATCAACATCCTGGAACTTCATGTAATTTTAGTTATATCTGCAATGTTGGACTATCCTGCTGGAAGGCCATCTGATCCGGAGTTGGATAACACCAAGTGGAGGCATGCATCAACTATCAGGGAAAAATCAAATGTCTTGCTGCGCGTGAGAGGTAGATCAGATCCTGCCCTGGGCAGAACTTCAACTTTCCGGCTTGTCTTCTGTGTTACATCCCAGGCTTAGACCATTAGCAGACAGATTTCCTCAGTGCCTTGACCCGGGGAAGTGGTCCCTACATCTGGGGTCGTTCTAGAAGCTGTGCCACAGGTGGGACCTTCTGGCCTCCTAGGATCAGCCACAAGCTGGACAGATCTGTCTCCAGGTACAGGGTAACAGAAGCAGTGGATGCTCTGGCTCCATGGGATCAGTACACCGTAATCTGTGCCTCTTCACCCCTTAAGCTTCTTCCACATCTGCTTCTCAGAGACAAAGACATTCCAGTGACCCCCATTGCTCCGGACTGGCCCTGTTGGATGTAGTACATCAACCTGGTAAGACTCCTGAAGGACGCTCTGCCAGATGGTCGGGATCTTCTGTCTGCTGGACCGATTTTTGGCATCTTGCTTTACAGTTGCTGGCTTTAGTGGTATGGCTGTTTGAATCCCTAGTTCTACGGGACAAAGGCTGATGTCTGATTCTGTGGTTGCTACAGTGCTAAGAGCTAGGAGGGCTACTTCCCACAAGATCTGTAATCGGACATGGGAGGAATACTATACTTGGTGTGAGTCTCCGGGCTTCCACCCTAAGGAGTTTCTTCATTGGTTGAATCCTCTCCTTCCTGCAGTTGGGTCTGGACCAGCCTTTGGCTCTCGGTACTTTAACAGGTCAGGTTTTTGCCCTTTCTATCTTGTTTCAAAGACTATTGGCCTCTCTCCTTATGTAAGACTACTTAATACAAATCTTCCCATGTTTGTTCCCCTGTGACTCCCTTGGATCTCAATCTGGTACTCTCTGCTTTTCACAAACACACCATTTTAAGCCATTTACAACCTCTGTCTGTCACTTACGAGGTGATATTCCTTGTGGTAATTACCTCTGCAAGACCGGTATCTACACTAGTGTCCTTCTCTTCCAAGAATCTTTTTGGTTTTGCATGAGGCCCAGGACTTCCTTCTTGACTTGGGTAGTTTCTGCCTTTCACCTCAACCAGGATATTTTTCCTCTGACTGGCTTCAGTTCACCAAAAGGAAATTTCCTCCCATTCCCCAGATGTGGTTTAGGCTGCGAGAGTCTGTCTGTTAGCCACTGCTGCTTTTAGAAAGACAGATACCCTATTTCGTCATCTCGGATGGTTCCCAGAAGAGTGCACCATCTTCTTGTTCTAACATCTGTAAGTGGCTCAGACAGACCATCATTCAGGCTTCTGGTCTTGAAGGTCGGGTGACAGCCTCTACTGTCAAGGTGCACTCTACAAGATCTGAGAGTGCTTCTTGGGCTTCCAAACAACTTTTTCCCTGATTTTTGCAAGGTGGCCACTTGGTCTTCTGTTCATGCGTTCTCTACGTTCTACCAGGTGGACATTGCAGCCTCATCTGATGCCAGCATTGGGGGCATGAGATCCTTGGATTGGTGGGAAAAAAAATGAGATGACCTAGTCAGTCATCTGTTGTTCCTTTAACAATCCAACAACATTATTGACCAAACTATATTGCAGTGAAGACAGGTAAATGGTCAGGACCTCGGGCAGTGTCCATAAGGGGATGTCTGCATCACGAGAGTCTCTCCCAAGGACTACAAATGCTGTGGCAGGTCAGGCCGTTCAGGTATGTTTTCACTTGCACTTTAACAAGCTGAACTTGAGGTCAATGGCTGAAACCAAGTCAGGTTCGGGAGCCTTACGCTGCATGCATTAAGAAGAATACTTTCATAGTAACTAGTAGTCAGGGTGAAAAAAGACAGAAGTCCATCGATTTCAACCTCAATGATTTATTAATGTTTTGCAGCCCTGCATTAATGTGTGCCTTTGTATTCCTGCCTGGAGTTCAGCTTTTGTTCTACCATCTGGGCCTAAAAGTCATTTGTTGTAGCTTCTGATGGAATATGTCTTTCCAGGTCCTGCTACGCGGTGTTTCCCTGCCAGCAATTGGTTCTCAGTCTTGGCTGTCTGACTGGCCTGGTGATGTACGCTTATGACAAAAAGAACAATCTCTTCACCCCGGAAATCAAAGCCGTCCCTGACCAGGTAACTTCTGCAGCTTACCAGGCGCTAATATGGGGATATGTAGACCATCGTCACGGTTTCAGACGATCACGGTTTGGCTTTGGATACACTTTAAAGGGACACTGTCACTTCCCCCTGCATGAACAAGGTGACGGTGTCTTCCTAGAACAGGGGTAGCCAAACTCCGGCCCTCCAGCTGTGGTGGAACTACAAATCCCATGAGGCATTGCAAGATTCTAACAGCCACAGACATGACTCCCGAAGAGATGCATCATCGGATTTGTAGTTTCACCGCAGCTGGGAGGGCTGGAGTTTGGCCACCCCTGTTCTAGAAGGATCTCCAGACCACATGCATTACCAGCTCTTCCCAGCCAGGGGCACTACCTGGCCTTTCCAGGTATGGAGGAACATGTGCTCAGGCCTAATAGCCAATCTCTAGGCTTGAGCCCATGATTGGGACACCAATGCAAGTCACTTCAGGGCCGGCTGTGCTGGAGGAAGGCGCTGCGCGTTGGTAAGGTGATCATAGGGTGTTAGAGGGTGGGCCCTTTGCAAGGACACTGTCACTTTGCCCTGCATGAACAAGGTGACGGTGCCCAGCCAGGGACACTACCTGGCCTTTCCCGGTATGGAGGAACATGTGCTCAGGCCTAATAGCCAATCCCTAGGCTTGTGCACATGATTGCGTGAGCTGCAAAGGGGATTATAGGGTGTCGGGGGTGGGCCCTTTGCAAGGACACTGTCACTTTGCCCTGCATGAACAAGATGACGGTGTCCTCCTAGAAGGATCTCTGGACTGTATGCGCTACCAGCTCTTCCCAGCCAGGTACACTACCTGGCCTTTCCAGGTATGGAGGAACATGTGCTCAGGCCTAATAGCCAATCTCTAGGCTTGAGCACATGATTGGCACAGTAATGCAAGTAATTTCAGTGCTGGCTGTGGTGGAGGAAGGAGCGGCGAGCTGCTAAAGCGATTATAGGTGCCAGGGGGGTGGGGCCCTTTGCAGAGACGCTGTCACTTTGCCCTGCATGAACAAGATGACGGTGTCTTCCTAGAAGGATCTCTGGACTGTATGCGCTACCAGCTCTTCTCAGCCAGGGACACTACCTGGCCTTTCCAGGTATGGAGGAACATGTGCTCAGGCCTAATAGCCAATCTCTAGGCTTGTGCACATGACCGGGAACCAATGCAAGTCATTTTGGTGCCGCTTGTGGTGGGGGAAGGAGCGGCGAGCTGGTAAGGGGATTATAGGGTGTCGGGGGATGGTGTCACTTTCCCTGCTTGGATCAGGTGCCATTGTCTCCTTTAAGGGAATCTTGTGTGCAAACACGAAAACTGACATATTTTATTGTTTCAGAATGAAATATACATTTCTTATATTTTGTGTTTTTTCCTCTCCCAGATGGTTCTGTATTTTGTGATGGACATTCTGAAGGATTTTCCCGGCCTCCCGGGTCTGTTTGTGGCCTGCCTGTTCAGTGGAGCCCTCAGGTAGGTCTGTGTGTCCATGTCCCGAGGCCTTCGAGGATAAGTCTGTTATATCCTTTATGTCTAGTTTAGATTATAAAGTGAAACCATCCAGTTTAATTTTTGGATGCAGTGGGAAAAGGGTCAAACCTTTTATTGGGGTTTCTTCTGTTTTGTTTTGGGGGATTCAGCAAAATTAAACTGTATATCAAGGCAAAATTTAGAGAAATGTTCATCTCTGCAGTACATTTCCCCAATTTGTTATCTCTTTACACATGCTGCAAGTACAGACATAAAACTGTTGATGATGTGCCAGAGATATAGCGTTTGCCGACCTTCCTCTTTCACATTTCACAATGCCACCCCTGCTCATTCTCTTCTCCTCCCCATGCTCCTCTTCCTCATCGCTCCTCCTTCTCCTCTGAGGCTCCTCCTCCTTGTCATTTCCTCCCTCTGCTGCTTCTCCTCCTTGTCATTTCCTCCCCCTGCTGCTTCTCCTCCTTGTCATTTCCTCCCCCTGCTGCTGCTCCTCCTCCTTGTCATTTCCTCCCCCTGCTGCTGCTCCTCCTCCTTGTCATTTCCTCCCCCTGCTGCTGCTCCTCCTCCTTGTCATTTCCTCCCCCTGCTGCTGCTCCTCCTCCTTGTCATTTCCTCCCCCTGCTGCTGCTCCTCCTCCTTGTCATTTCCTCCCCCTGCTGCTGCTCCTCCTCCTTGTCATTTCCTCCCCCTGCTGCTGCTCCTCCTCCTTGTCATTTCCTCCCCCTGCTGCTGCTCCTCCTCCTTGTCATTTCCTCCCCCTGCTGCTGCTCCTCCTCCTTGTCATTTCCTCCCCCTGCTGCTGCTCCTCCTCCTTGTCATTTCCTCCCCCTGCTGCTGCTCCTCCTCCTTGTCATTTCCTCCCCCTGCTGCTGCTCCTCCTCCTTGTCATTTCCTCCCCCTGCTGCTGCTCCTCCTCCTTGTCATTTCCTCCCCCTGCTGCTGCTCCTCCTCCTTGTCATTTCCTCCCCCTGCTGCTGCTCCTCCTCCTTGTCATTTCCTCCCCCTGCTGCTTCTCCTCTTCCTTGCCATTTCCTCCCCCTGCTGCTTCTCCTCGTCATTTCCTCCCCCTGCTGCTTCTCCTCTTCCTTGCCATTTCCTCCCCCTGCTGCTGCTCCTCTTCCTTGCCATTTTCTCCCCCTGCTGCTGCTCATCCTCCTTGCCATTTCCTCCCCCTGCTGCTGCTCCTCCTCCTTGACATTTCCTCCCCCTGCTGCTGCTCCTCGTCTTTTCTGCTCCTCCTGCTCATTTCCATGGCAGACTCATGCGCATAAGGCCCGGCCTCCATATAATGTCTCTGGGACGCTAAACAAAAGTAAGTAAACAGATACCAATCCCATGGTGGCCCCCGGCACCACAGTCGTTGTCCTAGCTGAGACAGTGCTGTAGATGGTCTCCATGTCCCTTTGTGCCCTCGCTCAACACCTGAGCGCCAGTCACCTGCTCTTCCATACCGGTCAGTGAGGAAGTGAAGGGAAGTATGAGCAGCTGGTTGTACACAATGTCCTGTCATCCCATCACAATATATACATGAAACCTCCCAAGTGTCCGGACTGTCCAGGTAAAGTGCTCTGCCTGATCTGTAGATCTGTACACACAGACGGTAATCTGAACATCTCACCCCGGTTGGTTTATCTGTCGGGGGAACATTTACCGACGAGCTCTGTCTACTATCCGATGTCTTAGATTCTAGAATGATTGTTCCTTGGTGTGTTCACATTGTGACCTGACTGCGGATATCTGTGTCCCCAGCACCATCTCCTCTGCGTTCAACTCTCTGGCCACGGTCACCATGGAGGATCTCATCAAGCCGCACTTCCCCGGCCTCACGGAGGCCAAGGCCACGCTCTTGTCTAAAGGCCTTGGTGAGTATTGCTCAGTATGTCCTCCAGGATTCATTGTGTTTTTTCTGTTTTTTGTTTCTCTTCACGTTTTTAGGTTATTTTCAATCTCTTACTGTATATGAAATGTTTGTCTCACAAATGACTATTTTTGGTGCATCTACAGCCCAAAAGTATTGTATACTTTTGAATGGAGTAGTGAGGGGTTAGAGCACCGGTCATGCTTTTTATTTCCCTCTGGATCTCTATTGGTCCTGATGGCCATTGTTGCTGAGATTAGATCCTTGGATCACTATTTGCCCACATCAGACAAGGGTCCTTCCCTGCAGCATGCTGGCAGGGGCGGGCTTTTCTACTCCGGCTGGAGTACTCTTAATATTACTTTCATGGCTCAGGGATCCTCTGCTAATATTTATGCACAGCTCCTCGGATGTTGGTGTGGACAGTGAGAGCCGTAAAAGAAAAAATAAAAGGATAAGCAGTGTGGCATACTTGACAGCCATTTGTAGTACTCCCTTGCATTGGCGGTCAGAGAAAAATTGCCCCCTTCATTGATGGTCATAGGATAATGCTCCTTACATTGGGGGTCAGTGGGAAGAATGTTCCTTACATTGGTGGTCAGTGGGAAGAATGCTCTTTACATTGGTGGTCAGTGGGAAGAATGCTCCTTACATTGGGGGTCAGTGGGAAGAATGTCCCTTACATTGGGGGTCAGTGGGAAGAATGCTCCTTACATTGGGGGTCAGTGGGAAGAATGCTCCTTACATTGGGCGTCAGTGGGAAGAATGCTCCTTACATTGGGGGTCAGTGGGAAGAATGCTCCTTACATTGGGGGTCAGTGGGAAGAATGTCCCTTACATTGGGGGTCAGTGAGAAGAATGCTCCTTACATTGGGGGTCAGTGAGAAGAATGCTCCTTACATTGGGGGTCAGTGGGAAGAATGCTCCTTACATTGGGGCTCAGTGGGAAGAATGCTCCTTACATTGGGGGTCAGTGGGAAGAATGTCCCTTTCATTGGGGGTCAGTGGGAAGAATGCTCCTTACATTGGCGGTCAGTAGAAAAATTGCCCCTTCATTGATGGTCATGGGAGAAGAATGTTCCTTACATTGGTGGTCAGTGGGAAGAATGCTCCCTACATTGGGGGTCAGTGAGAAGAATGCTCCTTACATTGGGGGTCAGTGGGAAGAATGCTCCTTACATTGGGGGTCAGTAGGAAGAATGCTTCTTACATTGGGGGTCAGTAGGAAGAATGCTTCTTACATTGGGGGTCAGTAGGAAGAATGCTTCTTACATTGGTGGTCAGTTGAAAGCATGCTCCTCCTTACAGATACCCGAAAAGACCATTGGTGTCATTGGCAGAGGTAACATTTTTATTGCTCCTAAAACCTCTAGCACCCTCTGGAAGAAGCCAAGGTCTCCATGGACTCCTGGTTGAGGAAGGCTGCCCTAGAGACGAGACTTGCCTCCAACATGTTTGTGGCCATCACAGGCGTCACCCTTTGGGGTGATGTGCTCGGGCCAATGTCTCTTTTTACAGTGACAGTCGCGTACTTTCACCACTGTTCAGCAGAACTAGCTGTTTTTGTTCTATTTGGTAGAGATCTGATCCAGAACCTTCTACAACTAATACAGATCTGATGTATTTCATGCGTAGTGTTTCGTGTGACCGTTCACCATCCATTTCTTACACTGCTGCAAAAATTACCCCAGATAATTTCTGCACCTCTTCTTCATCCCGCATTACAAAGGAATGCAACGTATACTTTAGAACTGTGTGGTAAATTCTCATGTCCCGCGCAGGTCCCCCGCCTACTGCGGACATTTGAACCACTCACAGTTTGAGGTATCCTGACGCCCCCAATGGATTCTGGGTACGAGTTCCAGGTGGCGCATGATGTCACATTCTTATGTTTTTTTTGTTTTTTTCACCATTTCTCATCTTTCCTCAGTGCTCCACAATTGTTTTACTACCCCCTTGTGTATTGGAGACGTCCCAACCTTTCAGCCCTCCGTTAGGGGTTTAATGGATTACCGATGATTATAGATTGGGTTGTAGGTTGGGATTGACGGTTGTAGTATGCGGTATACTGCTCCCAAACCCTGAATCAGGTCTTCCTCATGGAAGCTCAGGTGCTAAACGCCAGCAGGGGGCTCAAACTATGTCCCGCAGACAGCACAAACCCAAAGAATAAGACCGGCTGCACGCTGGGGAAAAAAAAAATCAAAAGCTGGACAACATGGAGAGAGTCTCCTCCTGGGGCTACCTCCTCTGACATGTTTTTAACAAAGTCCAAGAAATATTCATTGATGTCAACAATTAAGTCAAGCTTTGTGGGTGTAACATGTCAGAGGAGGAGGTCTCCAATATATAAGGTGTGGAGGGATTGGTGGAGAGGTGGCCTTGGATGGAAGCCAGTGGAAGGATTGGCAGAGAGTGGTGGGGGTGGAAGGATTGGAAGAGAGAGGTGGAGGATGGAAGCCCGTGGAGGGATTGGCAGAGAGGGGTGGGCGATGGAAGCCAGTGGAGGGATTGGCAGAGAGGGGTGGGCAATGGAAGCCAGTGGAGGGACAGGCAGTGGATGGAGCCAGTGGTTGGCAGAGAGGGTGGCTGTTGGTGGTGGTTGGGGAAGCAGATGAAATTGGCAGCAGTCTCCATGATAGACTGAGGGGGGGGGATGACTTGTGTAGACCAATAAGGAGGAAGTTGCAAAAGTCGAGAGGAGAAATCGAAAGTGAGTGGATTAGTATCTTAGTGGTGTCATTGGGTAAGAAGGGGCAAATTTTGGAAATGTTACTGAGGTGAAGACAGTATTTGGACAATGATTGGACAAAAGGCGAGTTCAGAGTGCGGGATTACACAGAGTTCCTTGAAGTGGGAGGAAGTAGGGATAGTGGTATTGCTGATCTCGATGGGGAACAGGGGGAGGAAATATTTATGAGCTCATATGTTAGATTCAGTTTGAGGCTTTTATTTTTATTTTTTTGTTTAATCCCTCGTGACTAAAAGTTCCATCTGTCACCACGACTCACCAGGGACTCGGCACAGTGCACCGGCAGCAGGCAGTGGCATCACTGCAATTTGTAGGCCATTGACAAATTCCTGCAGCTTCATAGCAGAAGGTCTATACCTACATTTCAAAAGGTAGATGGTCTTCAACATGGGGGAGGTGTTGTATAGTTCCCCCAGATAGCTAGGCACACTGTAACTTGTAACAGTGCGGCAAACATCTCTGGGTTTATGAGACCTCCACACTGATTTGGAGTCTCATTTTCCACCTCGAAGCGATCATCGTAAATTTATGGAAGCCGCACGCGTGACGATACGGAGGGCTGAAATGTTCGGTACATATTGGTGGAGTTGGATGCTGCTGCCCTGTAGTCTATTGTCTTGCAGAGATTTCAGCTCTCATTCATCCCTCCTATAGTTCTGCTGTTTTTGAGTTCCTGCCTGCTGTAATTTTATAACCATGTTTTGCTTGCAGCTTTCGGCTACGGCATCGTCTGCCTGGGAATGGCCTATCTCTCCTCTCTGATGGGCTCCGTCCTGCAGGTAAACACTCATCCCGTTCCGGCTTAAAGCATAGCTAAACGATACAACAACATGGAGGACCAGAGCTATGAGACAAGGCTTCTGACCTTAAACATGTTACGCTGGAATTAAGGAGATTAAGGGGGGATATGATTTTCATGTACAAGATGTTCAATGGTGACAGCAACATTGGCAACAAACTGTTTGAGAGTAACTCCATTACAAAAACTAGAGGCCGCCACCTAAAGTTGGTGGAGAAAAAATTCCAGCACAATGGGCGAAGAGGGTTCTTTACAGTAAGAGCGGTTAAGGTCTGGAACTCACTGCCATCGGCCGTCATCTCAGCCAAGAGTGTAGATTTGATCAAGAAACGTTTGGACAATTTTTCTTGAGGGACCGTAATATCCGGGGGTACCAGTATCCCTAAGAATGAGATGATGCGTGGACCTATATCGGTTGGACTTGATGGACATATGTCTTTATTCAACCCCAAATACTATGTAACTATGTAACAAAAAAAGTATTTGTGTGTTGGAACTTTTTGCTGTTGTGCTGTGTAAAGCCCTTCCATGTGCACCTTGCTCTAAAGCTGGTTATGAATTGAGGAGTGCGTTTGCCATTCGTTTTGCTTGTTGTATTTGGTGCAGGGACACACTGGGGGCTTCAGCTGCAGTTGTGATGTGCGGGGTCCGTTGTGTGTCCTGCACTAAATACAACAAGCAAAACGAATGGCAAACGCACTCATCAACTCATAACCAGCTATACAGCGCGGTGCACATGGAAGGGCTTTATACAGTACAACAGCAAAAAGTTTCCCGGCACACTCACCAGCCAGCATGTGAAAAGCAACAATGTCATAAATGACACAATGTCATGCCCAAAAGAGGAGTTCATTGTTCGTGGTTCACATACCATTTTGGTACACATATCCGTGAACAAATGATCATTTTACCAAACCAAGTATGCAGCATAAAATTCCTTGTTAGATTCTCATAAAATATTATTACAATGTTAACATATACAATTGATGCCGCGTCCATATGTCATACAATACAGATTGTGTTGCAGCAGTCTGGTTGTTGGTTGTAGATCTATCAGAAGGTGATAGTTGCTTTTAGGCGCCTCACCATGCTTTGTCGCATTGGCGGCTTCCTCAAGAGGACTTCAATCCTAAAAAAACTGCAACTTTAGTAGACCGCACAGCAGAATGAGCCGGACAACATCGGAGACCAATCAAGACCCTGGGATGTGGAGGACCGCAGAGGGAAGCAGAAGAACAAGGGGGAGGAGGAGGACAAAACAAGTCCAGACCGCCCCACATGCAAGACTGCACTTGATCTAAAAAGCAGACCTACGATGCCAATAATTCTTTCCACTGGCCACCAATATTGGCATCGGAGAGGTCCGCTTTTTAGATCAAGTGCAGTCTTGCATGTGGGGCGGGGTCTGGACTTGTTTGGTCCTCTTCCTTCCCCTTGTTCTTCTGCTTCCCTCTGTGGTCCGCCCCATCCCAGGGTCTTGCTTGGTTCCCATGGTCCCTGTGTGTGTTGTAATGTAGTGCTCGCTCCCGGGATTATTATTATTATACAGGATTTATATAGCGCCAACAGTTTGTGCAGCGCATTACAATCCCAATACAATTCAAGACAAGAGTGTAAGGAGGGCCCTGCCCCTGAGGGCTTACAGTCTAAAAGGGAGGGGCCAGTGATACATGAGGAGGAGGGAGCTGTGTGGGCATGAATTGTTTGAGTACGTGATGGTTGAGCTGTCAGGTTGAGGTGGCATAGGCTTCCCTGAAGAGATGAGTCTTTAGGGATCGCCTAAAGGCAATTAACGGACATGTTGGGGTAGAGAGTTCCAGACGATGGGAGAAACTCTACAGAAGTCCTGGAGGCGAGCATGGGAGGAGTTGACAAGGGAGCTGGAAAGCAGGAGGTCTTGGAAAGAGCGGAGGGGACGGTTAGGGTGATACTTTGAGACCAGGTTGGAGCCGGGGGGCAGAGCTGTGGAAGGCTTTATAAGTGGTTGTTAACATTTTGAATTTTATCCTTTGGGCGAGTGGAAGCCAGTGCAGGGATCGACAGAGGGGGGTTGCAGACACTGAGCGGTTGGGATGGACTACAATCTCAGGTTTAGTTCACTAATTTGTATGGAGATTGTAGTCCATCCCGGTGGGGAGCATGGAGCGGTGACTACTTTACATCACACACAGGGACCATGGGGAACAGACGTAGCCCCCCTCCAGAAGGAAGGACAGTGTCGGCTCCAATTCAGAGATGATTGGAGGATCTACAGCCGAGTGATACACAAATAAGATACATTGTTGTTCAGAGTTCAGGGACTGGAATGTATTTTTAAGGTTTATCTCCTGAGTTTAGTGTCACTTTAAAGTGTTCATGCGCTTTTCCTGAAGTAATGGCCACTGCAGCACCCCAAATTGTGTTGGTGTTTTATGTTAATATGACCAATAAACCTCAACGTTCTAAATATTTTTCATGCCTGTCTTCTGATCTTCCTTCCAACTTTTGGGGGTTTGCTACTTTGACATTCATTTCTATTTCCCCCTACAGGCAGCGTTGAGTATTTTCGGCATCGTCGGAGGTCCCCTCCTCGGCCTCTTCTCTCTTGGATTTTTCTTTCCGTTTACCAATGGCACCGTGAGTGTTCTTGCATAATGATCATCTTTTAATAAGTTTGTCTGGCATGGCTTGCTTTTCTGCTATAACTCTACAGATCTTTCCTGTTCTTAGAGGACTTTTCAAAACTGGAAGTCAAACCGTGGTCTCAGACCCCCTCGAAATGTAAGGGAGCTGTACTGACCGCTGCTTGATTTGCAGTCACAACAAGCCGCCCATTCAACTGATTTTGATAACGCAGAGAAAAGTGAAGAGTTGGGGAGGTGTAAAATTTGTCAGGTCTGTGACCCCATTGGCAAGATCTTTCCTCACTTCCCGTCCATGGGACATCAGCACAGGAAGTATAGGGGAGAGGAAGATGAGTTACCAGGAATGGACATAGAAAGCAATAATCATTTCCAGACCCTCACTCACCTAAAATGTGTTTAATGCTTTGGTCTGTGTCTCCTTTGGATACATTTCCCATCTTCCTGTCCTGTCGAGGAATATCTCCTCAATTGGGACACAAAACACATAAAAAACTGAGATTTCTAAAGCTTTGCCACTCTCAAATAAGTTGTGGCTGCGGTTGGGTCTTAATCAGTTGACATCCGCGGTGTTAAACCCCCTTCCCATCCAGGCCATTTTTCAGTATTCAGCGCTGCGGTACTTTGACTGACATTTATTCCGTCATGCAACGCTGTACTGAAATGAATTTTATACCCTTTTTTGGGGAATGAAAGGCGAGTATCGGGAACCTGGCACCATGCGTGCCACAATTGGCAGAATACACCGTGCACGGGCACCTGATATGGCTGGCTTGTCACTAATAGCTGGTGTCACAGCGAGAATACTGGGAGCCAAAGACAAGGGGCTCACTGATGAAAACTGAAATGAGTAAATTAGGTACTCCGTTTTCAGGGTTGGACGCAGAGCCGTAGCTAGCTCCTTTTGCGCCCGAGGCAAGAACAGAAAATTGTGCCCCCCCCCCAACAGACGTGTTATGTCACCCTTTACCACGCACTGAGTCATGTGACGTCATGCGCCCCGCCTCCAGGATGGCGGCATTAAATAGCATAACAATTTGTTTCGTTTGACGAAACTAATGAAAACATTTTTAGTTTCCGTTCATTTAGTCTTTGCGCATGTCTAATAGTGTGTGTGTGTGTGTGTGTGGGGGGCGGGTTCTGGGGGCTTCGGGGAAATATTGGGGGTCTAATCAGACCTCTGACATTTCTCTTTTGAAATAGAAAAAGAGATTGAGGACACAGAGTTCCTCTGCCCATGCAGCAAAGCTTTCTTTATGCTGCCACTGCTCCTGATGAAGACATACTAAGTGTGTGCTTATGATACTTTAGTGTTGGGGGTTATCTTGGGTCTTTGGGGCCGGAGTTTGCCTACCCCTCAGATGTTCGTGTTGGGGTCAAGGACTCTGTTAAGTCCGTAGATTCTGTCAGCTGGATAGCAGGGCTCGGATCAGAGGAACATGTTGCAGCTGTGAGTATGGAAGCAAGGGGGTCAGTTTACATGAGGGTGTTTGCCAGTTACAGGAAGGGATTATCATGAGGGGCCCCTAAAATAGCGCTTCACTCTGTGCCAAGAGTTCCTCTCCAAAGAGCTCTCCTGGCACAGAAGAGTAATGTATCACCGCTTCACTATGTAACTATAATTACACCATAGGCAAAAACGTCTGGCCTAGGATGTAATACTGCTGGCATAGCAAACTATTCCTCTGTATGCATCCACGTCCTGATGACACTGCGCCAGGTCCCCTCAAAGCTGGTCATTAATGGATGGATAATGCATACTGCCACACTGCAAAAATAGTTGAAGAATGGGTTGAGGAACGCAACAAGTGAGGTGATGACTTGGCCTCCAAATTCTTCAGATCTCAATCCAATCGATCATCTGTGGGATGTGCTGCAAAAATAAGTCCGACCCATGGAGGTCCCACCTCACAACTTCCAGGACTTGGAGGATCTGCTACTAGTGGCTTGGTGCCAGATACCACAGCATGCCTTCAGAGGTCTAGTGGAGTCCATGCCTGGACGGGTCAGCAAAAGGGCAACCTACTTAATATTAGGGGGGTCATCCAGATACCACATCATACCTTCAGAGGTCTAGTGGTGTCCATGCCTGGAACATGGGGACCTACTCAATATTAGGCGTGTGCTCCGATTATGACTGATCTCTGTAAAATAGGTCTTATCCCAATTTGGCTGTAAAAGTGGAAATGCACTTCAAGGTTGGAGTTGAACGGCACTTTTTACCAAACAAAGTTCTTACATTAGTACCTGTCCCAGCAGCCTCTGGGGGAAATATGCCAGTTAGTTTTTCTGCAGAGAAGCCCCGTTTCCAGAATTCTTATTGGTTTGTTTGGCTTTATACTATATATTGGTCATTGTCGACGGGTAAATGTCCCATTTTGCTCCAAGTTTCTCATCCTTTCTCCATTTCGCCTTCTCCTTCACTCAGGGAGCCATCAGCGGTCTGATTGCTGGGCTGGTCATGGCGTTTTGGATCGGCCTGGGTAGTTTTATGAGCAGATTGCCGGCCTCCTCTTCTGGCCCTCTACTGAATGCCACCAGTATGCCGGACGTGGGGAACTTCACGACCGCCATTGTGACCACCCTGCTGACCTCTGGAAACGCGACGAAAAGGTCAGTCACGTGCTTCATTGTAACCGTACATTGCTGAAATGAGGACTGATAGGGACAATTCTGCACTGCAAGAGTAACTTTGGATTGTTCCCGGATTTCAGCCTGGTCCTCCTGTAATCCCTGTACAGCAGAACTCAGACTTGGGAGGTGAAACAGCTCAAGGAGACAGTCAGTAGTGCCCCTTATGTGCTAACAAGGGACGTTGCTGATGGGAGAGGAGAGCAACCAACAGTCTAGGAGTTTGTCTGCTGCTTCTCCTTTTCCTGTCCATTCACAGGCTGAGGGAGGGACAAGATCTGTAAATGTTACTTATCTTAGGGCTGGATGTTTTCCTGTCTATCGTTATCCTAAAAAAATGCCCGTTTACAATAGCTCAAACACCACTTTACACTTACAATAAGTCAGGGCAGTGACTCCTCCCCCTTCCCCTCCCCCCTGCTCTGTTCTGGCAGAGAGAGTCTAAAGGCAAACCACTCCTGCTGTACTTTTGTGGGAAACCCATAGTGCTCTGGAAATTCTTTGTCATGGGTTTCTTGTAAATGTTCTTTATTGGCACTCTTCAGTCAAATTAGGAAACCAGTTGGGAAGCCTATAGAGAATAAAGCCCGCCCATTTTTATCATCTTTCTATTGCAGTGATGCAGTATGTGACCGAGCTTCCTCAAGGGAACTCTTATAACTATAAGAAAACTGAAAGCTCTTGACTTGTATGAATTGCTGCCGAGCGATTTTGAAAGCTTTGACACATCAGGGTAGTTTTGGAGCTTGGCACATAGCCCTGCCCTCATATTCTCCTATTGTCCATGATGGGATACCTCACTGGCCTTTCCACATAGCCCTGCCCTCACACACTTATATTGACCATGATGGGCTACCTCCCTGGCCTTGCCCTCATACTCTCCTATTGACCATGATGGGATGCCTCACTGGCCTTGCCACAAAGCCCTGCCCTCATACACTCCTATTGTCCATGATGGGATGCCTCTTTGGGTTGCCACAAAGCCCTGCCCTCATACACTCCTATTGACCATGATGGGATGCCTCACTGGCCTTGCCACATAGCCCTGCCCTCATATTCTCCTATTGTCCATGATGGGATGCCTCACTGGCCTTGTCACATAGCCCTGCCCTCATAGCTCCTATTGACCATGATGGGATGCCTCACTGGCCTTGCCACAAAGCCCTGCCCTCATACTCTCCTATTGTCCATGATGGGATGCCTCTCTGGGTTGCCACAAAGCCCTGCCCTCATACTCTCCTATTGTCCATGATGGGATGCCTCTCTGGGTTGCCACAAAGCCCTGCCCTCATATTCTCCTATTGTCCATGATGGGATGCCTCTCTGGGTTGCCACAAAGCCCTGCCCTCATACACTCCTATTAACCATGATGGGATGCCTCACTGGCCTTGTCACATAGCCCTGCCCTCATATTCTTCTATTGACCATGATGGGATACCTCACTGGCCTTGCCACAAAGCCCTGCCCTCGTACTCTCCTATAGACCATGGTGGGATGCCTCACTGGCCTTGCCACATAGCCCTGCCCTCATACTCTCCTATTGACCAGGGTGGGATACCTCACTGGCCTTTCCACAAAGCCCTGCCCTCAAACTCTCCTATTGACCATGGTGGGATGACTCACTGGTCTTTCCACAAAGCCCTGCCCTCAAACTCTCCTATTGACCATGATGTGATACCTCACTGGCCTTGCCACATAGCCCTGCCCTCATACTCTCCCTCATACTCTCCTATTGACCATGATGGGATACCTCACTGGCCCTGCCACATAGCCCTGCCCTCATACTCTCCTATTGACCATGATGGGATGACTCACTGGCCAATAGGAATATGTGGGTGGACAAGCTTGAGGACTATAGGCAAAGCTTCAGCACATCTTCAATCAGAACCTGCATGCTTGTTTAAGGTTGGTGATTTACTAAGTGAGAGCAAGGATGAGGACGACTCATTGTACAATTTGCTCCTTTAAACACAAGCCATCAGCGACATCGGCCATATTTGTATGCTGACCATTCTCTATCACAGTGATCTGGGCTGGGGTTCCTCCTGATCAGACAACGGCCTCATGACTCTTTTCCCTGTTCTGTGTCCTTCCAGTGTCACCGGTCTGCAGAGGTTCTACAGTCTCTCCTACATGTGGTACAGCGCTCACAACTCCACCACCGTCGTCATCGTCGGCATCATCGTCAGCCTGCTGACAGGTGAGGGACGGACGTGACAGGTCGTCAGCCTGTAGACTTCACAGAAGGGACCTTCCTCCGTATATTGTATTCTATGTACAACACTGAAAGATACAGCGGAGAGTTCATCATCTACAGCGTGCAAGAAGATCTAAGGTGCAGATGAGAATAGGATGGTCAAGACGAGACGAGGGTTAGTGGTGCCCTGGTCAGGAGAGCTTACAATCTAAAAGGCAGGAGCAAGAGGTAATAACTGTGAGAGGAGGGGTGATGAAGGAAGTGGAAGTTCTGTTGAGGCGGAATCGACTTCCTTGAAGAGATGAGATTTCAGATGAGACCTAAAGGTAGAAGATAACCGGAATGTGCTGAAGAGGACACTGAGCCAGTCACGTCGTTCTCTGTACAGAGAAGCTTACACTCTAATGTCCCCCCGCAATCACACACTATTATTATACATATATATAGCGCTGACATATACCACAGTGCCGTACAGAGGACACTTGAGCCAGTCACACCAGTCTCTCTGTACAGAGGAGCTTACACTCTAGTGCAAGCACAGGAGGAACATAGGGGCTCCATGCAGATGCAGGCTCAGTGGTGTATTTAGGTTTGGGGCTGCCCTAGGCAAGACAAAACTCGGGCGCCCCCCCCCCCCTACACTAAATTTACCCCACCTGGCTGTGGTCTGAGGTGGGCTCTGCGGTGGTCTCTACAGGATCTTTGGTGGGCTCTGCGGGGTCTCAGGCTGCTAAGCCCACCATAGACCCCGCAGAGCCCGCCACAGATCCTGCAAAGCCCCCCTGAGACCCGGCTGAGCCCTTCACAGATCCTACACAGCCCCCCTGAGACCCTGCAGTCTACCATAGAGCTCGCAGAGCTCACCCCAGATCCTGCAAAGCCCCCTTGGGACCCAGCAAAGCCCCCCACCGATCCTGCTGAGACCCTGCAGGATCTCGGGGCTCTGCAGGATCTGTGGTGGGCTTTGCAGGCTGCAGAGCTCCCTTTGAATCCTGCAAAGCCCCCCTGAGACCAGGCAAAGCCCCCCACAGACCCTGCAGAGACCCCCCTGACACCCTGCAGGATCTCAGGGGGGTTGTGCAGGATCTGTGGTGGGCTTTGCAGACTGCAGAGACCCCTACGGATCCTGCAGAGCCCACCAAAGGGTATTGCACAGCACACCTGACACTCTTTGGTGGGCTGTGCAGAATCTATGCTGGGCTCTGCCAGCACAGTCCTCTTACCTTGCACGGCCTGACCTCTTTGGAACACGGCCTCCTCATCCTTGGCGCCCGACACGGCCTCCTTGTCATCTTCGCCGCCCGACTGGAGCTCCGTCTATTGGCCCCCCGCCTCTTCCGTCTCAGGGGCCACTCGACACATTTTTTTCTCTCTTGGGGGCCGCTTGTGAAATTTCATACTTTAAAATAAAATATAACTATATCCGGTTTGGTACTACAGACCCCAATATACAGACAATAAGCCCCCTTTCATATCTGTAGGTTTAGGTGCGATTAGGGATTCCTGCATCAGAAACGTGCGTTTTCCTGCAGCAGGAATCACTAATCTGGTGTTTACAAGTGGCAGCTGTCACCTATTCAAGTTAATGATCAGGTGACAGCAGCTCCATGTAAACGCCTGCACACCGCATGTAATGGAATGTGATATGATTACATGCAGTTAGAAAACACTCTCCCTGAATGCACAATCATTTGTAGTTGCACCACAGCTGGAGGGTCAGAGTTTTACATCGACCGGTCTATGGTACTAGTAATATTTCCCGGATAGAAAAAGCAGCCAATCACCTTCCTCGGTGTGTTTTGTAATGGCGGCTCATTTGTGACAATTGTTCTTCATTGGATGAATGTGTACCATTGGTGTGTTTTTCAGGGCCGATGAAGGGGAAGGATGTGAACCCCCGCACAGTGTACCTCGTCCTCCCAAAGCTGCTCTTCTTCCTGCCGGAGAGATACAAGGAAAGGTTGCGGTTTGGGGTGCCACACATACCAGAGGTAGGGGAGCACCACGAATCCAGACTGTTACAGGTACATTGCATTGTCTTCTAGGGCAATAGTGTTAAAGGGACCCTACACTGAAAACTTGGCTTTGCCTAAATGAGTCTAGGCCCGAGGGGATGGTATACCCCACAAGTCTAGAGCCACGAGGGGGATGTATTTATTGCCCGAAATATTGAAAGAAGCGGAGAGCCGGCACGATGAACCATTGAATTCAAACAAACTTTCTTTACAATCCGACATGTTTAGTGGGGGTCAGGGCCAGTGTACAGAAACAGACAATATACATTTCATGTGTATACATAACCTAATACTAGAAGAAAATCCTAATTATAAGCAGCGGCTACAATGTATCCAAATGTCAGCAATGATGTAAAATGACAAGCGGCAGATTGATCCGCACAAGAACCAGATCTCCTTATTTTATATACACAGAATACATGATATACGGTGTGTACAGAATAACTAATGTAGAGTGTAATGAATGTAAGAGTTCTTTCCCCCTCCTAATGTTTTTAAGGCCTCGTTCAGATGGGCGGCAGACTCCACCACCCCTCTGCTAAGTGCTGGATCTCTTTTCAGAGGACGGTAGAGAAGCAGTTGCCTGGCGTTGGGGGAGGAGATCCTGCCACTTCCTGAACGCCATTTTGTTTCTATCTCAATGGGGACGTTCAATTGCATAGATTGTGTTTGGCAAGCGGCACCACCAGCCAAATGCGACACGCAGTTAAAAATTTGGCATGTGTTCAATTTTTTTTTTTTATTATTCCTCCTTTAGCTTTGAGCTGTTCGGTCGGGGAGAATTAAAGGAGAACTAGGAGGGGGAGTGACTGGATTCTCCCCTCCCCGCTCCGATCCTCCAGCGCTGACTGGCGGAACAGACGGGGAGGGGGCTGGTACAGCTGGCTCTGCCTCTAGATAGGCAGAGCCAGCTGTCACTCATGCAGCTGGGTGGATCCAGACAGAATTGTTGGGATCCGTTCCGGCTGCAGCGTCTCAGTATACCGCGAGCTGCAGCTCCCTATATACTGAGCTTAGGGTGACGGGAGGACGCTAGTTTGTGTCCTTCCGTTACCCTAAGGAGAACTATGGGGAAAAGCCCTGACCCCATAGTTCTCCTTTTATAAACGCAGAGCAACCGCCTGAATTTACCACCCATCTGAATGAGGCCTTGAACGGCAAAATTTTAGGCTCTCCCATTTGTGTCCAATGACATTGGTCACCATAACAAAGGTGAAGAAAGTAGCAGATATTCTAATTAGGGATGCACCGATGCCGTTTTTTGGCCCCTACTCGCCGATACAGAGTACCGGTGCCGTGTGGGCGGATTATCAAGAAGTCAGGTGGCGGGACATGACCCGTCGCCCGGCTTCCTGATGGCCTGTGAAGCCGGTGTTCTTTCACTTGCCGAAGGCTGTCTGGCTTCCTGACCAATCAGGAAACCGAGCTGAGAGTCATGAGGTGCTGTCTGGCTTCTTGATTGGTCAAGAAGCCAGGCTGCCTAGCAACAAATGAAGCCGGCTTCCTAGGCAATCAGGAAGCCGGGAGATGGGCCATAACCCACCGCCCAGCTTCCTGATTGGAAAGGAAGCCGGCTCCGTTCTCCTTTTGGCACTGCCGGTCAGAGGGAGATCTCCCTCTGACTGAAGTTCTGGTATCAGAGCATTTGGACCACTACGACTACTCGCCCAAATACGCAGTATCGGTGCATCCCCAGTACTAATCCATTCCCGCTCTAAAAAAATACAATGTTTTGTTTTTGTAGTGATCCTCTCAGTGTTCTTTTTATTTATTTATATATTAATTTTTTTTTCCCCGAAGGATGAACAGATCCTTCCGAAGCCCTTGGTGGCCGACAAATCATGCAACGGTTTCCTGAACGGAAGTGTGAAGGGGACGGACAAAGATGAAATGGAGGAGAACTTCACGGGCATGTCTCGCCCCGATGGCGGACACTCATATGTGGTCCATGAGACTTCTCATCTGGTTTCCAGGAGACGGAGGGTGCAGCTTTATTGGTCACCCTTGTTGGTTCCATCGTCTCTGTGGTGTCACCCTCCTAATGTTCTGCCTTCATCTCACTAGTCTTAAACCAGATCAGCGCTGACCTCCTCTGGTGGTAAAAACTTGAACTTCATATAAAGTCTCAGCTCCTCCTCCAGCGGACCCAGAGACTTGGAGAGTTCATCTCTGAATCAGGACATTATCTGGCCTCTGTGTGCTGCTGGTTGGGTTTCCATCGCCAGGTTTAGAATCTCGACCTCTAGAATGATCCTCAACAAAGGTTTTTGCCATCAATTCAAATGACGCAGTAAATTTTTTTCTCAGATGTTCAGTGATTTATTTTTGTGGTTTAACACTCATCGTGGTCATGTGACTACTAATCTCCCGTGTGCACCCAGCCTGAGGGTCTCCCTCGATAGCGCTCCCCTATGGGGACAAGCTGCTCTTTATTATATAGAAAAATGGAATGTGTGATGCAGATAGTTGATGCCTATGACAGCCATTCCTTAAATGGAACCTGTCACAGGGAGGATAGTTGATGCCTATGATGACCATTCCTTAAATGGAACTGGTCACAGGGAAGATAGTTGATGCCTATGACAGCCATTCCTTAAATGCAACCGGTCAGAGGGGGGGGGGGCATGAAGGTTACGATTGCTCATCACCCTTTCTGGATCTGCTGGTTGCCTGGCTGTCATACTGACCCTCTTGCTTTAGGATTTTGGCTTACTGGCTCAGGGCAAATATGCGGATAAGGAAGCATAATTTTGGGCCCACATAAAATATTGAAACCAGAGGGTCAGATATCATCCAGACAGGTAGCATTCTCCGGAAGTGGTTAGCGTTGGCATCCCCTGTACCTCTCATGACAAGGTTGATTTTAAATGGGATCTCTAGCTATGCTGATAATGGCGGACTTGAGGTCTTCAGGCCAACTTTGACAACCTAGTGTGAAATGACAGTTCTGTTGTCCCCTATGTGCCATGTTGGATGAAGCTCCCCTTCTCCTGTGTATCCTGTCATGTCCATATACCATCGGCTCTGGCCGGATCTTTTAGGAGTTTGTCCACCAGTTTGTCAAATGCTTCCAGTATGTGTGTTCCCCAGAGGCTGCTGGGAGACTAGGTATTTTGGGAGACATGGCAGCTCAGTCCCCTCCATCCCGGTTTATCATTTTAAGGTAGAAAGGATAGAGTTGCTTCCAAACTGAATAATATTTATTTAGGTTCCTCATTTGTTTCTGTACATTTATTGGTACTTTGCCTATCGGTTGTCCTTTTCTTGGAGGAGTTCTGTAGGTTATTCATAGACATGAGATGATTATTGTGGTCAGATTGGGTATAGACCCAACAACAGCCAGTTCTCCTCAACTCTGCAGGACCAGCAATTGGCTGTGTTGGTGGCTTCCTGCTGACCAGTAGGCTGTCTGCCTGTTCACATTTCCTGTCTTGCGGAAGGAGTCCAAGCAAGCAGATCTATAGAAGCATCTTCACATGGTGGTCATGTTGGCTGTCCATGGATTTATGGTCCAGGCTCTGCTACACTACAAGAAAGCCAAAGAACAAACTCCATAAAAATCTTCTGTGGTCCTCTAGTTTGTCCATAGGTACCCTTGCTTGTTGCTAATGGTAAACTATACCTATTAAAGTCTATTTGTTGTTCATCCATGCCAAATACTGCAGGCGATCTCATTTTTAACCATCCTCATAGACCTTGTCTGACTTGACTGTTATTGATGTGATCTCAATAGAAAAAAAGTGATAAATCATTGTTCTCTTGAGCAGGACTTGGGATTGTCCAAAGTAACGACCACTAGTGCACTGTGAGTGACTTTCATTATCATGTAGAGACTGATATTCTACTGCTAGGCTGATGCCTCTCTACTGGTCCATTCACCAGTCAACAAAACCCTTCGTAAAAAATAAAACCCTCTTCCATTTGACACATGTTCACGGCAGGAATGGTAACGGTTCCGTACCTGCTTCTGTTCTGATGGACAGGCCTGGTAGACAAGAGTTCTCAGATACGGGCTTATATGATGATACTATTAGGTCAGTAACACACCTTGGCTGTCATTGTCTTGGACAGTCTGATGGGTATAACCTAGATTGTATGCGTTACTGTGTCCACCCATCATTGCTGTCGGTTACTGCATCTACCCATCATCATTGCTATGGGTTACTTTTTCCACCCGTCATTTCTATGCGTTACTGCACCTACCTGTCCTACCCGTCGTCCTTTCTATGGGTTACTTTGTCCACCCGTCGTCCTTTCTATGGGTTACTTTGTCCACCTGTCGTCCTTTCTATGGGTTACTTTGTCCTACCCGTCGTCCTTTCTATGGGTTACTTTGTCCTACCCGTCGTCCTTTCTATGGGTTACTTTGTCCTACCCGTCGTCCTTTCTATGGGTTACTTTGTCCTACCCGTCGTCCTTTCTATGGGTTACTGCGTCCACTCGTCCCTTTCTATGGGTCACTTTGTCCACCCGTCGTCCTTTCTATGGGTTACAGTGTCTACCAGTCGGCATTTCATGTAGGGTGTCACTTGTAGGGCCGTTTCCTGTGTAAACATAGTGGAGTTTAAAGTCCACCCAAGCTAAGTTTTTTTTCCAGTTTTTAGTATTTTGCTGAGGATTTGAACCATCGAAGGGTCTCTCTTCTCTCCAAGAGTCCTCTGTCTGGGTCTTTGGAGTCCCCCCTCCTGTAACTGAAGACATCTGAGCAGGCACTGGATCCTTCACCCTGGAGAGTGCTGCCTAATTAAAATGTCAGGTTTGGGTTTACTTGCCCTTGAAAGCAAAAATTTAAATTTTGAAGACTTTTTATAACAATATGGAATGCATTTTCATTGTTAGGCTTCAGCGGTCACCGAAGTGTAGACATATTAAAGTATATAGCTGTACAGCGGTAAGCAAATCTTTATTCTTGTGCCTATTGCTGGATCCCCGGTTTATGTGTCGTATGTTGGTTGAATCCAGTTGTATATATTTTATATTGTGTACCGTGCCTTGATATATACTATGGATGTGTGCGTTCTGGTGTTTGTATTGTACGGGTGCAATAATGAGACCAATGAGAATAATTTATTGAGAAATCTCTGCTATGTGGTAATGTTATAGAAATGTAAATCTATTGATATTTTATGAATACAAAACAATACTTTTATAAAAGGGTTTTAGACTTTCAGTAGTAAAGTAGTAGAATCCCTCTACGTACCTAACGAGGTCCAGAAGGGACTATTTCTGCAGACCAGCTATGCTCCATGTATGATTTAGGAGCCCTGAGGCTTTAGTGATCGTCCTTTTCTGTAATTATGCTGCTGGGGCCTCAGAGTGCTGAGAGAGGAGAACCCCTTTATGTTCCATGGCAGCTGACTTTTTTTTCATGGTTTCTTCCCTTTCAACTCAACCAATGAAATGTTTTTTTCCATAAGTCTAGACATTTGTTTTATAGGAGTTACCTTAATTGTGTCACAGAATCTCCTTGTCTAAAGTGGAAAAAAAGACCTCAGATGGTGTACAAGCCCTCAACAGCAGATTCCTGTATGCAGACCCCTTTAATACTGTGTTTATAAGGCATTCTATAAGTAGCTGCCTATGAAGACCCCTCCAATACCAAGTATTGAGGCTTTGTTATAAGTAGCTACCTGTGTAGACCCCTCCGGTACCAGGATTGGGGCTGTGTACAAGGAGATACCAGTGTAGACCTCTCTGATACCCGGTATGGGGCTGTGTACAAGGAGATACCTGTGTAGACCCCTCTGATATCCGGTTTGGGGCTGTGTACAAGGAGATACCTGTGTTGACCCCTCTGATACCAGGTTTGGGGCTGTGTACAAGGAGCTACCTGTGTAGACCCCTCTGATATCCAGTTTGGGGCTGTGTACAAGGAGATACCTGTGTAGACCACTCTGATATCCGGCTTGGGGCTGTGTACAAGGAGATACCTGTGTTGACCCCTCTGATACCAGGTTTGGGGCTGTGTACAAGGAGCTACCTGTGTAGACCCCTCTGATATCCGGTTTGGGGCTGTGGACAAGGAGCTCGCTGTGTAGTGTAGACCCCTCTGATATCCAGTTTGGGGCTGTGTACAAGGAGATACCTGTGTAGACCACTCTGATATCCGGCTTGGGGCTGTGTACAAGGAGATACCTGTGTTGACCCCTCTGATACCAGGTTTGGGGCTGTGTACAAGGAGCTACCTGTGTAGACCCCTCTGATATCCGGTTTGGGGCTGTGTACAAGGAGCTACCTGTGTAGACCCCTCTGATATCCGGTTTGGGGCTGTGTACAAGGAGATACCTGTTGCTTAATTTGAGCTGCAAAGACTAGAGCAGCTCAAAGCCTTGCAACTCGGAGCAGTTTTTACCTGAGATCCAAAGATGCTGCCTGTATTACTATTTATACCATGTTCCCTTTTTTTGTTCTCTTTACCTCGTTTACCTAAAGGGATCTGGTCAGGATAGCACCAAGGGAGCTGCCAGACTCTTTTGCAGGTATGTTCTCCAATACTCTCATCCTTGCATATGCATAGGTATCCTGAGCCCTGTTATTTACATGCTCTCTAAAGGTCTGTGAGTCATCAAGTATTGAAGGTAGGGATGCACCGATACCATTTTTTCGGTATCGAGTACCAATAATTTAGTTTTCGGTACTCGGCGATACCGGGGCCGTGTGCCCTGATTATCAGGAAGCCGGGCAGCGGCTCATTACCCACTGCCTGGCTTCCTGATTGGTCAGGAAGCCGGTGTTCTTTCGTTAGAACACCTGGCTTCCCAGGCAATCGGGAGGCCGGCGACTGGGTCATGACGTGCTGCCCGGCTTCCTAAATGGTTTGGAAGCCAACCTGCCTAGTAACAAGTGAAGTCGGCTTCCTAGCCAATCGGGAAGCTGAGAGGCGGCTCATTACCCGCCGCCTGGCTTCCTGATTGGAAAGGAAGCTGACTCCATGCTTCCCCGGCAATGCCGGTCAGAGGGAGATCTCCCTCTGACCAGAAGTT